TAATAGTTTTCACTCGAAGCTTGAACTTTGATTTCAGCTAGATAATTCACAATGAAAGTGTGAATGACTAGGTCATTTAATTTGTAAAAAGTACAATTTGTGCTTGAATTTTGGACATTGAGAAGGCTATTTGATTCCGAAAGTTTACTTATTATTAGACTATGGACCACTACTTAAATAAACATAGTACGAAGTATATTAGTATGTGCTACTATGTGGTAAGAAAGTGCATTGATAGGATTATAGGAAGTACAATACCAACGGCAAGGTCATAGGATTATAGGAAGTACAATACCAACCGCAAGATCATGAAACGCCTACTTTAAAAGTACGAAGAGATGGTTCAAATAGTATATAAACTTACACAAAATATATATATATATATATATATATATATATATATATATAATATATATATATATATATATATATATATATATATATATATATATATATATATATATATATATATATATATATTTACTCGGTACTTTTCTATTCATATAAGTTGTGTTTATTTACATTCTAAGTCAGTTAATTACGGTCATCCCTCCTTGTAAATATTTCCTCAACCAAAAGGTAAACCTTTTATGATTTACTATAATTTGTATGTGACTATGTATAATACTTATATCTAAATTAAGCTACTCGTATTACTTAGGTCGTAGTATAATAATGGTGTATAATTCTTTTATTATTTTTTAAATAAATTGTTTTATGCAGTATGTATGTATATCATTTTAATTTTAAAAACAATTTAAAGTCATTTTAACGAGTAGTAGTTGAACATTATCCACTTATATATATGTCACTGAGTTCAAATAAATCTTTCTAAATAATTAATTAGATGCGGATATAATTTGCATGATTGAGTAGTAACACATAAAAGATAACATTTACAATAAACGCTCGTCTATTTTTGAACATAAACAATTGAAAAAGAACAGCTGATAAAGTCTTGGAAACTATACCCTGTATCAGTTATTGAATTGAAATTGAAACTCATCTACGTCACTGATTTGTTGTCGTTAGCGTGATTCTGTCTTTTGGACGACGCAAGATGCGTGGGAGGAAGACCTAAGCGCAAGTGTTGCATGCACAAATCGAAGGGATTATGAGTTATGACCACTCTAATGCTCTAAGCTTGTTAGTTCCACCACCACAAAAATAACGACTAACCAAAAAAGTAATATTTGTTATAACGTCGACAAATTACTGACCATTTAAGCAGGAATCTCGCCGGAGAAAAGAGGCATCATATCTCTCCCACATGCTTCTTATTTAATTAATTATACTTATTATTAATTAGCTTATCACTCTGACCTTACCAACCTTATTTTATATGCATTATTGTTCATATAATAAAATTTAATCAAACGTATACAAGTATAATTAATTAACCGTGTTACATGTATATTATACCATAACTTTATGTTATACTCGACTGTACAAGGGCTTCACAACTAAGTCAGTTAGACAAGGACTGGTAATAAACTAATAATGTAGATAATTACAGAAGAAGACAGAACTTGGATTTCATATTTTATCTATTTATTAAATTGAGTGTTTATATTTTCAAAAATGGAATGACTTTTTGATACCTTAAGTCGTTATTGCTGTTGATTAGCTCCAATGTGTTAATCTCTCGTCCGTTTTAGATACCTTAAATTCAACTCACTTTTCGTTATATCTGTTTTTTTCTAAAACAAAGTCGAAATCGATCCATAAATAAATATCTGCGCTAGATATCACAATTTTATAATTTGATTCCAAATAAAATCATATTCTTGACCTTAATTTTTCCCGCAATCAGATCTCAAACCTTCTTCACATAAGGAGTATAAGGCCGGCCATGCAATAAAAATCCATTCAAAAATTAAAAATAAATAAATAAATTAAGAAAATGCTAACAAGTGGAATTAGGCACCTTTTTTTTTTCTTTTTTTTTTTTTCTTTTCTTTTTTTATTGTACATAAATTATTTTAATGGATTGAAACTTATTTAAACTGATTCTCTATTATATTTGTTTTTTTAAAGTACTCCCTCCGTCCCATAATACTTGGGACGTTAAGGTGGACACGTAGTTTAAGAAAACTACAAGTGGGTCTATTTAACACATTTGTTTATTTTATAAGAGATTCTCTTTTGTATTTTTATATTGCAAGAAAAACAACAAGTGGGGTGGGAGTGGGGTAGGTAAGGAAAGAAAAAATGTGGGAAAATATATTTTTATTAGTGGTCCCATTCTATATTTAGTAACGTGTCAAATATTATAGGACGAACGAAATTGCAAAGTGTGAGAAGTATTATGGGACAGACGAAAATGGAAAGTTTGTCAAGTATTATAGGACGGAGGGAGTATTTAATTATATTTATATAGCTTAAAACTCATTTATACTACGAGTAATCTGATTCTCTAGTATATTTGTTTTTTTAAAGTTGCTGATTATTTTTACAGCTTAAAACTTATTTGTAAATTGCAATACACCTTAATGGTATGCCACACACATTGAGAAGAGTTTAGATAATGTAAACGGACAAATTTTCAAAGTCGTTTGCTTATTATCTACTCTAATCAACTTTTAAAATAGCATGTCCAAAGATTGTTTGCAAATTAAAGAAACTAGAGGAAATATAAAGGCACATGTTAACGAAAGCCACCGAGCGTTGGATATGATAGCTAAAAGCAGAATTATTAAATTAGAATGAATATTAATTACACCGATTGACGCGTGATTTTGATATACATTCCTAAATTAATACCATTTTAGGAAATAATTTAAATATTTTTCTAACGCCACAATCATTAGTAAAATTCATACAATATCTAAATAAAGTGAAAAAAACAGGGTTTTATTCACACTACTCGGTAGTTATTATTGACAAGGAATTACTAGTTATTTTTTCATTTTTTTTATTTTTTTTACAAAAGGAACTACTAGTACTAGTCCTATTACTCCATACTCCAAGGAGTATTATAATAATTTTGATAAGCCAACAACTGATACAACGTAGTTTGTGTAAAGGTACAACTACACAAAAAATAAACCAAATAAGAGGCCTAGGATTCGGGTCGGTGTAATGTGAGTTTCCAAGATGCCACGAGTTTAATTGTGATGTAATCATACAAATTTTTAAAGAGAGAATTTCAGAATTTGTCACCTTTTATCAGTCTGACTGGTCAACCATGTCAAACTCCCTTCCTTCATTCTGTGGCTTTTTCCCAATACCTCAACTAACGGATCCTCTTTGAGTTACAAAACCGCCATTTTTCGATTTTAAATTCTTAATCTTTGCTTATGCCTAATGCATCCAAGCTACATATACCTAGGGTTATATCTTTCTATTTTCAACATAGTACGTTATTATATACGTTTTAACATTATACGGAGTATCTAATTAGATAGCAACATACTCTTAATTATCCTATATATAATTCACTATAGTTGATCGTATATATCTTTGATTCATTTACTCAGACTGATGTTATTAGTACATCTGATCTTTTGAGCTAGCTAGTACTTCGTAGTAATTTCTAAATTTTACTATTACGAAAGTATAAAGATAATAGTAATTAAACTAGTTATATTGGTTTTTTATTTTTAATAAAGTTGTGTTCGACAGCTAATTATGAAATATTGTGGTGTTAATGAGATCATTATATAACATATTAATGTATAGTTTGGTAAATAATACTACTGTACATGTATCATATTTCTTGATTGTGACTTTGTAAATAGAATCTTGTTAACGAATGTCTCGGGGCGTTAGATAAAGAATAATTATATTGGTTAAAATAGTATTAAGTTAGGAATGCATGACAAAATCACGTGTCGTTCAGTGTAATTAATGTTAGTTTTACTCTAATATTTCCCCATTTAATTCTCTTATTTAACGTCCCGGGGGCGCTCATTAGCTTTTGCCTTATAAATATACCTTACTTGGATCTTATCTTGTTGTGGCGATTTAACGAAGTTAAGGATAATTAATTGAACTTGAATATCTAGTAATCAACGTGAGATATAATGTCTTAGAGCATGAGTTGCATCTCTTGATACATACGAGTAACAATTGTCAAATAACATGTTTTCTTGCCACTGACTTGAAATATATAAAGGACAAATCAAAGGAGTCCAAAAAAATTTCTACGTACCACATGCTACATATGCATGAGCCTAAAATGCTACAATTGTTTTGTAGATTTTAATTTAATTTGTTGACGTATCCAGTCAGTTTACTTGACCCTAACCAAATGTATCATAATAATCAATTGATCTAAATTGGACTGATTTAAATGACTCGATCGATCATTTACCAACATAAATTTAGCTCTATCTACTCATTTGTTCCTTCAAATATTTCACTATATTATATTTCATGGATAGCTTAAAGACAACTTCACATGTTTTCTTTTAGTAAACTTTGTCGTGCTTTCACAATTCTTGTTTTGGTCAAACTACCTAAATTCCCCTACTTCACTACTTACCCCTTCTAACCCGATGCATTAATAAGTTAGTTGTTCATATATAGTAATAAAAAAAATTGAAAAATTATTCAGAATACTGGCATGCTTATGTAGCTAGTCAAACTGTAACACATTTTTCAATAATAAACAGACTTGACACACAGCAGTTAAGAGGTCATTTACCAAAATATACCATATATTGTTCGTATCAATTTAAACCTCCAACAATAATTAGCTACGTCCAAAGTAACTAGCTAAAGGAAACAGAGGGAGTATCGGGGCATCGTAGTATGTAAGCAAGGATAACATGGGGATGCATGGTAAGACTGACACAAAGAGGCCCCTTTCGTATGCTGAAATAGAAGCAAACTTCACCCTTACCCACTTGAAGACTAACCCCAAATTGGGGACACCAAGAGAAGGACACTTCCCTACAATAACATGCCACAAACACAAACACAAACACAATGCAATATATGCATTTTCTCTCTCTTCAACTTATTATTATGCAATGTAACATAATAAACATTATATTATATTGTTTGTTACTTGTATTAAATAAAAGCTACTCGATCGTATCTAGCCATCCATCCCCTTAAGTTAAATTAGCCCACTGCGTTCTCCCATGCACTTGTCTTCTTCACTTCCAACACCCTCCACTCTTTTCTCTCTCCCATTCCCTCTTCTTCATGCTTTCCTCACCTCTTTGTCCTTAATTTTTATTTATTTTTTTTAAAATATTTTTTTTTTATCTTTTAAACAGTTTCTTTCTATTTCCTTTATATACTAACCCTTCTTTCTTATTCTCTGACAAATAAACAACAACACCATACAAACTAAACTCTCCTTGCTTGCGTCTTCTTAATTCACCTTCATTCTCTTAGATTCATTCGTCGATCACTTGCATTTTCTCCTTCATTGTATCATCACTATGTCTAGCCGACGATCACGGTCAAGGCAGCAATCAGCTGGTGTCTCTGGCATTAGTGATGATCAAATTGTGGACCTCGTTCACAAGTTGCAGCAGCTTGTTCCTGAGATACGTGGAAGACGAAGCTCTGACAAGGTATACTTATACATATACATACATACACATACAAACTAGCTAGCTAGCATCCGTAAATAGTCTTTTTTGCGCGTTATTTACAGATAGACGAATAAGACTGCATACATCTGAACTCTTCCAAACCCCACTGTATGTGATGGTTCTGGAGTCCTGTATACAACATTGAAATGACGATATAAATGCTTTCACATTACTATTATAGGAATAATAGAATGTAACTTTAATTAATATTATGCACATTTTATTATTCATTCTTCATTTTGTGAAGACTTTAGAAACTATGAGAAGAAGCATAAATTTTGTGTGGACTCCATTGTGTTAGGGTAGATAAGTCACAAGTTCATTAAATCGTAGTATATAAGTTAGATGTTATAAAATTATTGGCATTATACACATATATATATGCCCATTATATTAGAACTATATTAAATAAATTTATTATTATGTGGTGCAACTAGCAAACAATTTGCTTGTGATGTGGGACTCTTTTTTCTTCCATTAATTTCTTATCTTGCATTTAATTTTTTTTTAACCCTAAGTCATCTAGGTACATTATATTCGTAGAAAATATTTGTATATTATATATATGATGTACAAATTAAAATATGGTGTTGACTAACATTTATTTTTATTTATTTGGGCAGTCGGCAAATAGGGTTTTGCAGGAGACTTGCAATTATATTAGGAACTTGCATAGGGAAGTGGATGATCTAAGCGACAGATTAGCCGAGCTCTTGGCTTCAACTGACAGTGACAGTGCTCAAGCAGCCATTATTAGAAGTTTACTTATGTAAACAAAAAAAAACAAAAACAAAAAAAAAATGTAAGAGAGAGAAATAAAAAAAAAAAAAAAAAAAGTATAAGTAATTATTTTAAGTAATTAGCTGGATAGTTTGGCCAAAAATTATTGTTTTTGTTTTTTTTTTTTTTTTGGAATTTTAAAATGCTTCTCTCCCTTCTATCTAGGGTTTGGTCTCTAACTAGACCAACAAGAGAGATTAGATTGAGTGAGAGAGAGAGAGAAAATCTCCAAGTGTTGTATTTAATTAACTAGCTCTTTTAATAGTATAATTAGTTGTTACATTTTAATAATAAGTATTTTAGTAAATTAATATATCTCCTTATCTCTCTCGAGTCTTCGCTGCTGATGAGAACGATAAATATATTACATGGTTATCATTTAATTTCCACATTTTTTTTTTGTATACAGATAATGATAAAAGACAATAAAATAATTACGTATAGAAATTCGAGTAGGGACTTAGACAATTCGATTATCCTACAAACAAGCGTAACTATGTACATTACATATCACTCTATCATTAGTGTAATGTCTATTTTATTCAAGTTGCATGGCACTGACATTGCATTGCGGCCTTGGATTTTTTGGAATAAGTAATTAATTATTGAGCTTAGCTTAAAGGTTGATAATAATAACATTTAGAGATTATGATATTGACTAGTAATGTATTTAAAAATAGTTTATTTTAAGGTTTTTGTTTAATGTTGATGGTGACGTACATTTGGTAGTACATAAAAACAAGTTGCTATAGTCCGACATTTCTATTAATTAGCCCTCGATGTAATATGTTTGTGTTCATAAGCACTCCGACATAGAAAATGCCAAGATGAATTAGTAGTAAGAAAAATCCAGAAAATATATAATTGATGTGGCTGGAATCTCATAATTTGCTACTCATTCAATCTTATGAAAAAAGCAGCAAAAAGTTGGGAGATTTTTTATGATTCGATACCGTTATTATTAAGATATGATGGCTCATCAAACCATAACTAAGTTAGGAATTTGGTACTTCCTCCGTCCCTTATTATAATTTCTGTTTTTCTATTTTGGAGACTCAAAATATTGTTCTTATTTCAATTTTTGGATAGTTTTTAAAGACTATTATACCCTCAATTTTTTAACTTTATCCATTATACTTTCTAAATTACCTTTAAAATTTCCACTTGCTTTGTATTTTTTTCCACTTTCTCCCTCTAGCTTTTGTCTATAATTGTACTTTTCACCTTTTTTTTTACTTCATTCACTTTATCTTCTCTAACTTTTGTCTATAAATGTACTTTTCACTTTTTTTCTATGTGCTTCATTCACTTTCTTTTCTCATTTCTTAAATACCGTGAAAAAACACAAACAAGAACTATATATTGGGACAGAGAGAGTATATCACAGGCTTATTTTCCCTAGATATAATTGCATTATTTAATTTCTTTTTATTTATCTAGCTATCTCAATACAGTATTATTGTAAAAATTGGAAAGTCATTTTAGGGGGCAAATTCTCTATTTATCGATTACAATATTGTAAAAAATTGGAAAGTCGTTTTAAGGCGCAAATATAATAGTGAAGGCGTTTGCACAATGCCCAATGCCCAATGCCTCAATGTACATCCATTGAACATACATCAAGCCTAGCTAAAACCAAAGAACATGAAAACTAATTTTAATGAACAAAAGAGCTATAACTAAAATGATGCTATATATGTTCATTAATTGGAGTTTATGCTCTTTTGTTTTAGTGTTTTTTTTATTTTATTTTGTACTCTGTGTTTATCGAATGTACACTATGCACTGTGCATATACTTGCACCATCAATTATATTTATTGATATTAGGGAGCATATATTTAGCTCGTTGTTACATGATATTGGATCTTTCTTATTCCTTCTCACTTCTAGGCAAGAAGGTTAGCACAAAACTAGCAAATTACTAAGTCATTGTTCTCTTCACCTTAATTTTACTGAATAGAAATTATTTTTACTGAATAGAAACTAATTTTATTGAACTTAATTTTTTTACTGATTCTCTATTATATTTGCTCTTTAAGGTTACTAATTTTTAGTTACAGATTAAACCTTATTTTTACTGGTGAATTGAAATTATTTTTGCTAAATTGAACTTATTTTTACCGAATTGAAACTATTTTAATGAAATGAAATTATTTTTACTAATTATTATTATTTTGTTAGCTGAATATATTTTTCTTCAACTTATATTATTCAAACTTATTGAATTTATTAACAGCAGGAACAAAATAATGCCTTAGGTAATGTTCCATTTACTTGATTTCCACTTATATAATATATCTTAGCTTATATATCTTCTTGACCTCTAGATTATTTATCTTATCTTTATTCTATCTTACCTTATCATCTTTTATCTTATATTATTTATTATACCTTAATATCGTTAAAATTTTGACTCGGTGACAAAGACTGAACTAATATTTAAGATCAAAGTAGTGTATTGACAAATGTATATGGTCAAAATTATACGCTTATTAATGGATGAAAAATTACCTATAGATTATAACACTTCTAAACCCTAACTTTTTTGTTTCATTTGAACCCTCAACTTGCTTATAAAAGGATGAAAATCAATTACACTAAGGTAGTGTTCTTTTCAAATGAATTTCACTTATCTTATCTTATTGCCATAAAAATTATTTATCTTACAACCCTTATATTTATCTTGTCTTATCTTTATTTATACAAAGTATGATTTAAACTTATCAATTCTTATTTATTTTATTTTGGGCCTAACTTTCTTTTTTCTATAAGATAAATTGTATACATTAAGGGTGTGTTTGTTTCATCTAATTTTACATAGCTTGTATTATTTTAGAAAAAAATAATTTCTGATAAAGTAAGCTCAAAAAATTAATTTCAAACAAAATATTAAGCTAGACACAATATATAAGTTATAAAAATTCTAAGAAAATAAGTTCAAACAAAATGAAATTATATAAGTTTAGATATATTTAGATAAAATAAAATGAGTTCAGATAATTAAAAGCTAGACACAATATATAAGTTATAAAGATTCTAAGAAAATAAGTTCAAACAAAAAGAAAATAAGTTCAAACTAAATGAAATTATATAAGTTCAGATATATTTAGATAAAATCTAATGAGTTCAGATAATTAAGTTCAAACAAAATTTATAAAATAAACTCATGTAAAATAAATAAGCTCAAAGAAAAAATTCAAACAACATCTAATAAACCAAACATAGTGTTACTTCAATCTTAGCAAATTAACACCCTAACAAGAGTGCGCCTTATTTACTAGATTTTCAATTGTATGAAATTATTTAACTTATTTGAACTTAATTACCCAAACTTATTAGAACTAATTTGAACTTATCTAAATTATTAATTAGATCTTATTAGTGTATTGTGAATTAAACTTATTTGAACTTAATTCCTAAAAATACGTATCTTATTCGAACTTTTTTTTTTTTTTGAAATAAGTGGCAAACACAACATGGCCTGTTTTTTTTTTTTTTATTATTTATTTTTTTTTTATTATTTGGGTGAATCAACAACATCGCCTTGTTAGAAGCTCTTTCTAGTCAAACTTAGGAAAAGGTATGCCTAGTCATCATTTTTGTACAACAACCTAGTAAAACAACTATAGCTAGCTACTAGTAGCCATTAATCATGTACGAGCAATAGCCTTCATCACTTTCTAAGGCTACCAAACTCAAAAGTCTTCTCTCTATTCCTTTCAATTTAGGGATGTCAACGGGGCGGGGCGGGGCGGATTTTGGCATTCCCATCCCCATCCCCGCCTCACATTTTCATCCCCATCCCCATCGCGGGTCTAAAAATTATCCCCATCCCCGCCCCGGCGGGTCCTACTCCAAAACCACCCCCGCCCCATCCCCGTCCCCGCCCCGTCCCCGCCCCATCCCCGCTAATTCCCCGCCCCATCCCCGCTAATTCCCCGCCCCATACCCGTCAATTTAGTATTAAAATCCTGCATATTATATAACTAAAAATTAATAGTACATAAGAGGAAAAAAAAAACAGTAACTCCAAATTGTCCACAGTACAAATATTATAAATACTACAAGTTTACAAATATTCAAATACATAAGAAGAAATTCATTAGGCCTTGAATTATTCGGTGCAAAGTCCACTTGTTCCAGAATCGATATCACATGTTTCAAATCCTTCCTCTAATTCTCCCACTAATTTAGCATATTTATCATCCTTAAAATCTCCACAATCTGCAAATACAATGTTAATTAATTAAAATAAATAAATAAATAATATTATTAATTAAATAAAATGTTATATTAGCTATTTACCTTTAAAAGCAGCCCATATCCAATTTTGAGTACACATCAAAGCTTCGACAGCTTCCGGTAAAAGCCGACTACGATAAGGACTAAGAACCCAACCACTTGTGCTAAATGCGGACTCTGATGCAACAGTAGAAACAGGAATGCTCAATATATCTCGTGCTATTTGCTGAAGAATGGGATATGTGCCTCCATTTGTCTTCCACCAGTTAAGAATATCAAAATCTTGGACTAGAGGCACATTAGCAGCATCTAAATACTTATCCAATTCTGAAATTTCATGACTTGAGTCCTTATCTTGTTGCAAAAATTCTGCAAATTCTTGCATAAAGGTCTCCTCATTGGATTTGCTACTACTATCCAAATCAAAAGCTTGTTGGCTGCTACTACCTTGAGTTTTACCCATCTTAGACCCATACTCATCAACCAATCTTCGTAGAAGATCACTAATTCTACCAACCTCAATTTCAAAGTCATGCTCCTCAAAAAATTTTGCAAAATAAAAGCGAATAAGAGCCATTTTGTATCTAGGATCTAGTATTGTTGCCACTCCCATTAAACCATTCACACTAGCCCAATACTTGTTATATTTTTGTAACATAATGTCGGCCATTTTCCTTACATAATCATGAGGAGATAAAAGCCAACCAGAAATAGCAATTCTCAAAGCACAAATTTTAGGAAAATAAAGATTGGCCGTAGGGTAATTTGTTCCTGAAAA